ATGTTTTTGCAAACACACTAATTTTTTTAAAGACCCACACTTCAGTTGCTCAGCTGACATGAGCAGTCTGACATTCACTTTTCTAAAATAGTCTTTTTTCCTTGTGAGTTCTATTAAAAGCTTTAGATTTGGCTTTTTTCAACTACTCCTACTTGACAACATTTGGAAACCACCCCATAAATCACTGTCAGCAGAGAGTTTTGTAACTAGAGTGCTTAAGCCTCTCCCCTGCAAAATGCTGTGGAGTTGAAGCAGGATCCAGATTCTCAGAGGCCAAACACAGTCTGAAATTGAAGAGTCCCTAAATGTATTTAAAGACTCTGACCCTAAATCTCAACAAGGATTCTCCACTGACATTCTCCTACCACTGTCCAACCAGGTCAGGTAGAAACTCTCTAAAAAAGTTGTCCTCGTCTCCTGCCATCCAAAGACACTGGGAAACTAGAGGTGAGATAAGAAAAGTGCCTGCTTTGGGGCTATCCAGAAGTGTCTCAGTTGTCTCTCCTGAGTCCCAAATTATGCCAGAGAAATGAAAAGGGAGGCCACCACCTACCCCTCTGTATGCCCTTTCCATGAGCCCATCTGCTGGTGGTTTTCCATGACCCATCTGGATGTCTCTCACTGTCAAATGTGCCACACATCGCTGGCCACTGTGGTTCAAGAGTCTCTGCCATGAAAAGTCATTGCTTTCCACTTACTGCATTTTAAAAGTGTTTCCAGCTAACAGTTTCCTTTTTTAGAAATGGAATCCAATTCCCCCTTTTTTCCCCACAATCCCTTTTCCTTTCCTATAGGGATATGAAGGAAGGGGAATTCTTGTCAACAGAAATTAAAACTAGTAAACGAACAAGTGCACCTAGAGAACCAGCATGGTATTTCTCTTGCTGGGGTCTTTTGTTCATGTTGCAAATTGATTTTGAGGTGACACTAACACTGGGTAATCTAACTTGGGCAGTTATGTAAGGCCCAGTCCTTACAAAGCTAAGTCCAAGAACGGTCAGTGGGAACTCAGGGCAATCAATATTTGTAGGGCTAATCCTATGAAATGTGCAATAAGCAGTTCCCACTTCCCCAGATAGATACAGAAGCTTCAAAACCAGCAAAAAAAATCCTTGGTAAGAAGAGGGGGAAAAAAAAAAACAAAAACAAAAGGAAAAGGAAAAAGGAAAAAAAGAATAAGAAAGAAAGGAGTGAGTTCCTGCTTTCAGCTAGTGCAACCTCTTTGAGATGAAGTGATTTACTGCGAAGAAAATCCTGCAAGGGCCATACATTCCTGTATATATAAATTTTTGGATCAGAGCCAAGTGATCTGTCACTGCTTTTTACTTAAGATAATTCTTCAGGTTTTGCTAATTAGGTACTAACAATTCTTTCAGACGAGCTGTGTAGCCCAGGGAAGAATATCAACAGTATGTTTTAAATCAAAGTGTTTACATCAGGAATGATTCATTTTTTCCATGAGGAATGACTTGTGAGACAGGCAGTCTTAGCACTGCCATAAATCTACATGAAAATTAAAATTGTGGAACAGAATAACAAAGGCAAGTTGCTATCCCCATCTTCCCTGCCTCAGCCCCAACCCTAGAGATGGAATTTACATTAACAAGGGGCTCCAACTACCACTGGAATTAGTGTCTGAGAAACTCAGGATTTTAAATCCTTCTAAGAAACACTGTGATTAAGGTCAGTAACTCTGCTCTCCTCAACAAAGAAAAGAAGCTAACTCCAGCACTTCTGTCATCTGTTCTAAAGCCTTTTTAAAGAAAAAAGTTTTTAAAAAGTTGCACAAACAGAAACACATACCCTCTTCTTTTGTGGGCTGTGTTTAAATAGTGGTTAAGAAATCCGTAACAAAAAAAAAAAGACAGAAAAGGAAAGTTTCTGGTTTAGGCCTGTGTTTTCCCTTTTATCTGTTGGAGGACAGAAGGCTGTGAGCTGAGCATGGGACTGCACTCACATTCTCACTTGCTAAATGGTTGAGGGGCTCTCCGACGGTGCAGAAGGGCCAGCTCCATAGCATGTTTCATCCCAGCTGTTTGAAAAGCTGGTTCACTTGAAACACAACCATTATCTCCACCCACACTCTGCAGGAGAGCAAACTCCCCCTCAATGAGGGATTTATTCCACACTTATGATAACTATTATTACCAACATTTACAACATCAGTCATTTTAATTAGAAAAAAAATTAAAGCTAAAAAGATCCTGCAATGCACAAACAGATACATACATATTCACATGTAAAAATGCAAAGCACTCAAGTTGTTTCTATTAGCTGCAGCTCATGGAAGGGATATGCGTTCCACACACAACTGACTTAAACACTCTTTTTCTTTTTTTGAATCATAAAAATATACAGATGTCTTTCTTCTAAAAGATTATTTTCCCTTTCCCTGTGTTACAGGAAGCCTGCCCACACTTTTAAATACGAAGTGGGTATAAAAAGAGGCACAAATTAGGTATCTTGAAAAGTCTATATTTTCCAACCACAGAGAAACTAAGAAATTACTGTGAGTGTTTACACATCCGACTATGTTGAATTAAAATGTTTTCTATTCATATGCCCAGGAAAACTGTCAAATTAAAAAAGGAAAACAATGGCATCTCTGGTTCTTTACCTGTTGCTACAGTTTACATTATTCAGCCTTCTTCATACAGACCACTAAAAGTGTCAGTCTGAATACAGTCGACACTCTGATGAAAGCATATCCTACATATATAAATGATACAACTACTATGAAAATTTCAGTAAGACTGTCTGCTTTCCTATAAATCTAACTAGACATTTGTCTTTTTAGTTGTCTCTCTGTATCATAGCTATTAAAGGTAAATAAAAGCATGATGGCTCTTCTTATGACATTAATAGCTTGAGGGACTTTATAAATCAGTGAATACAAATGTACTACTCATTACAGGAGAGGGAAGCAGGTTTGTCCATCTGATGCTTTCTGACTTAGATTTCTGCTTTAAGATCTTGTTGCTCATTTAAAATTAACTCATCTCCTGTTTCTCCACTGCCGTATGGTGGGTAACTTCTGGTATTCTCTCAACTTTTGACATCAATGTTTTTCTAGTAGTCTAACTAGCTAGCATTAATGGTCACAATACAGACACAGTAGCTTCATTAAATCTTGACAACTCTTGTCAAAAGGTGAATTTGAGAAAATAAACCAAAATAAACTCAATATAAACCACTCAGACACATCCTGACTGACCAGATCTTTTTCTTCCGTCTGAACCTTCAGTAATTTCAGCAACATTTTGAAGAAGATTTAAGGGGTGATCTGTCAGCTGGTCAGATGGTCAAAATGGCAATCTTCCCCACTAAATTCAGTGTAAGGTTTGTTGTTTGTTTGAGGTCTGTTTTTGTCACACATTTCATTTCTCCCCAGCTGTACTGCCTACAGAGAAGCTATTTTGCTTCCCAAATAATACTTGCTTGTTTTGATGGGTTTCTTTTAAGCTAGATTTGGACATTTGTTAACCAGAAGCTAGGAATGGTGCCTCCAGCCCCCGAGGTAATACTTGCACGCACTGCTGTGCACGAGTGGCATTTGCACTCATGCCTCTCTGGCAGGAGTCTGCCACTGGTGTGCTGCAGCACATGCACCTCAACTGAGAGATGAGTAACTCCCCCTGAGGGTTTGAGCAGGTCTGTAGGAGAGCAGGAAAGGAGGGTGTACAAAAACCCACTGACTACACTGAGAAAGAGCTCAAAAGCTTAACTGCAGACTTTTTCCTAAATACTGATCTAAACTATACAGACAACAAGTGTTCGTTTTCTCATAATACCTCCACCCTTATTAACAATCAGGCTCTTTTCTTTTTTTTTTTTTTTGAAGGAAGGAGGTTGGTGAGACTTAAGGTTGTGCAAGACATACTTTGATCTGCACCCTGATGAGTGAACATTCCCCTTTGCTGCTAGCCCAACTAATGAAGGGATAAAATTAGCTTTTATCCCTGGCACTTTCTTTAGCAAAAAAACATGCACTAATCAGCTGTCCTCACTAATCAGTCGTCTGGCTAATGACCTTTTGCCTTAAAACACTAAAATTTCTGAATGATGTTAAAAAAAAACAGAAAACCAATACAGACTGCACTCTCTTTGTGGGTCTTAAGCCTATCATCTGGAATTGGAGACTGAAAGGTTAAATGGCAAATCTGTATCCTGACTGGGTGATAAATCTATAATCAAAAGGCACAAGCCTTGACACCTCAAGATGTACTTCATTACTACACAACTAAATGATCTTTTTTCTCTTTTTTTGTAAACTAGAAACAGATGAAAAAAAAATTACTTAACTACTTCATCCTTTGCCTGTGGAGAAATCCACTCCACATCTGTGTTCAAGTGTCAGTTAATTTCTTACTTTTTTATTAATGCCTGAACAGGAATTCAGAAGTTGAAACCATTTGCCTTTTTTCCTCCCCCTTACAACTTCAGGGAACTATAGCTGGGAAAGAAAATTGCAAAACCATTCCATCAAGCCTACATTCCCAAACACACCCGTGAATGTCTAAAAAAACCCTCCAAAACAAAACAGAGAGTACCAAAGCACAAAAACAAGCCTTCCAATTCCCCAAATTCTCAGTGTACAGGGCACAGTCCTTCTTCCTCTCTGTAACATACTTTAACGTTGTTTTAAAAGAGGGATTTTTAAGGCCTGTTTCATTTTCCTTCTCTGCTTTCTATAATGAGGCCCATTTTTCTTCATGTATTAAGGAGGTGGAGCAAAACAGAACCCTGGATGGCTGAGGAGGATTAGCAACAGATGAGATGTCCTGTGGAAGTCGCTTTGCAGAGGCCTGAAATAATTTCTAGCTGCAGTGCAACTGCATCCTGGTTTTTAACTTCAGGAAAAAGAGACTGCATTTACCACAAACACCACTCCCTCCAGATAAAGCAGTTCTCCCTGGGGATGATGCAAAGTCACAAAATCACGTTAAATTTGACAGCCTTCCAACTTTGCATCCCCAAATGAGCCAGCAATCAATACTCACGGTAATGAGGGTCCATGTAACCGTTTCGGGGGTCCATGGTAAAGAGCGTCCCGCGGTAAGGTACGGAAGGTTCGGGAAGGTGCGATATAGATCCATGGATCTCCTTCTTGATTAATGAGGCCCTTTCCTCACTCGACGTGGAAGGCTCTTCACTGATCTTGCCGAGGCCTTGCCCACCCTGCGGCTGCATTGTGATCGCGTTCCTTCTCTCTCTGTGATAGGTCTGCCCAGGACTTTCATCCTCTGCAAAAAAATGAGGGAGAAGAAAGAGAGAAGGGAAGAAAAAAGAGAGACACACACTTTTAGCCCATTTATAGCAAATACAATAAAGAAAAGTTCTCCCCCCGCTGCCTTCCTCCTCCTCCCGGTGTAAGTTTGTGACAGGAGGTGCCTGTGTGGCTGTGAGGGATGGCCTGGGGATGCTCGCCCGTTCGGAGCCGGCAGCAGCGAAGCAGTAGATCACCGTCACCCATGCACTGATGCTCCTACCAGCGGGGCTATCAATTGTGCAGGAACAGAGGCTTGCTGTTTCCCTGCCTCTGGGACAAGGAGGCTGGGAGCTCCCTGATGGGGAGTCAAGAAATGATTTCTCACATGGAGGAGAAGATGAACCCCACCAGCTGGGCCTAAATCATGCACAGCCACCCACCACAGCTCTGTAGCCCAGCTCCAGGTCCCTGGGGTTTGCCTGTGTGAGGGGCTGAAACCTTGCAGGGAGGTCAGCAGTGATCAGAACCAAGGTGGGCAACAATAAAATGGGTACAGCTGCTCAAGATACAGGACCAGCAGCATCAGGCAGGCACAAACAAGGCCACCTGCTCTGACAGTGTCGCCATGCTGGTGCCTGTGCAGGATGGCTGAGTACACTCAACCACCTCTTTCTCCCATATCCACACAAACAAACAAACCCATAAACTCTGAATGAACAAGGTGGAAGAAAAAGCAGGGGGAAAAATAATAATAATTAAGTGGGTCAAACCCAAGCCCTTGTTTGGAGTAAGCCTCTAGGCCTGTGGTACCACTTGTAAAGGGAAAAGAGCCTCCTAACCATGGCTCTACCAGTCTTCCCTGCAGACAGCACCAGGACTAGGCGCTAAAACAACCCACCGCTCCCACGTGAATTTTAACTCCTAGGGACTACACACACCCTTCAAAAACCAGACAAAATGGTTCTGCTCCTCAGATGTGTTCCTAAGTATATTTCACACATGCCAAGTGGCAGAGGGGCTTTGCTAGGTACGTTAAGTCTCTAATGTAAATGCTCTCCTCCAGTTGCATTATTGGTTTAAAATAGAGATGTTTCTCTAAACAAGCATGATTGCTTGCTGGCTGTAGTCCTTGGCCAATACCAATGCTCCGGGCACAGCCTTGTCCCAGCAACCACGCTGCACATGCAAACATACACCAATACATCTTGAAGGAGTAGTGATAAAGACTCTTCATTTCAAAGTTGCTCTGCAGTTCTAGAAGTACACAAAGAATCTCAAATTAAATGCTAGGCACAAAAACGGTAACTAGAAAAGGAAATGAAAACACCCTTAGGAAATAAACTAAAGTGCTCTTACTCTACAACCCACACGCAAGGAAGAATGATTGACACCAGCGCCAAGATTGCATTTCAGTTGTCAGAGATTTGAGGTCAGGGCTAAGTTTTCACTTGTACCTTTCCCTGGTGTACTTGTTCACAGAGCAAAAGCAGTAGCCAGCAATTCACCAGGTGACTACTTTCAGCAAGCCTGACACCAGTGTAACTCAACCTATGTGCCTTTATACGAATCAGATTAGAAACAGGCTCTGTACATACAGATACCTGACCATTATATGAATAAACTAGCTACACCATTGCTTTGAATAAAATGCTAACCAGCTTTTTCCCTGCCCCTTCTCCCCCCAAGTAGCAACAACACAAAACCTCAGCAGCATAGCCTATTGAGCACTTAATTATTTTTCTATCTCCAAGTATTACAGCAACCAAGGTTTGCTGACTTATCAGCATCTTCCAGCAATGGAATTCTTTTTACAGCCAGTAATTCTACATACAGAGCTTTTCCAGGACTGGGTCTGAGGAGAAAGAGTTAATGGAAATAGACAACAACATTACAGAGTTTAAACCCTTTGCCCTTTTCTACTTTTTATTAATATGCACAGGCACTGGTCCCTGCTCTGGATTAGCAGGGTTTAAGGTTTCAACTTTTTACACTGAAGCTGGTTTTAGTTAGAGAACTGCAAATAGAGGACTAAAACTTTAAAACTTATATGAGCTTTTAGAAACCTGCTCGTATAACTAAAAAATAATATATATATAAATCACCCCAAAGATATATTTTCCATCAGGTTTCTCTTTAGCCAGAGTCTTTTATGTTAAATTTCAACCTAGAGTGAACTTTCACTGATGAGACGTAAATTCCTATAAAAATAGGGCATTACACTCCATTTGAAATTCTGACAGACTCTTAAGTAGAGCAAGCTAACCAGTGCTACAACAGTTCGGAAAGAAGAAAGCTACAATGATTTGTGGGGCTGTATAATCACTCAGATGATCAGATAGGATTTCAGTTCTTTTACTGTTCCATATAAAGATAGTATTTGCTAAAACTGCCATCCTGGGATACAACAAGAAGCTGACATCTGACTGCGGGCTCCACTTTCATACTTTTATTCTCAAAACATGCATGTGTCATGAATCAAGGTACTAGTGACTGTTATGGAAAAGGCTGATTTTTCGAATTGCTGAATGAAATTCAAAACCTACTTTCAGTAACTTAGAAATTAAAGGAAAAATATGGTTTGTTTTAATAAGCTTTTCCCTTTGTTAGTTACTTGAGAAAAAAAGAAAGCAACACTATTTTTCCTTCTGCATCAACAATCTCCCGCCTCATTATGAAGTTCTTACCATGTGCCATTACAACTCAAAAGCCTCTGTATGTTTTCTGCCACCCAAAAATTGCCCCAGAACTATTTAACTGAACATGATGGCATTTTTGCAATAATAATAATGAGGCTTATTAATTGGCCAAACAGCTTGCTAAGCACTGACTTCCCACCACTGGCTTGCTTGTGATAGGGGGCAGATGAGAGACTGGACAGCACCCACACTCCAGGACACTAAGAGCCAAGCAGTTTGCAGGAGTTCCCCCGGCGCCGAGCGGGAAACTCCTCCTGCAATAATGCTGCCGACTCTCACGGCAGGCGAGCCACTCCAGTGTGCCAAAAGGGGAAAGCTGTCTAATCTTGTTCTGGTTCAACTGAAGCGTTCAATAAAGTTTCAAGAGTAAGTGCGGGCAAAGCGCGCCAGGCCAAATTATTGACAGAAACACACTGTCCACCATGGCAACAAGTGGGATTCTAAAGCAAAAATGTAAGCAAACAGCCCACTTCTCCAGCAGCATCTGCCAAAGGGGTTTTACAGCCAAATAAGCGAGAGCTGTTCTGTTACCGCTCTGCTCACGTTTCAGATGTGGTCAGCTTTGGGGTCAAAAGAAACATCTGATTTATTAAAATGTTACAGAGAGACAAATGCCAAAGTGAAAGATGAAGTTGGTGGCAACCCACCAACTCCAGTATAATTCCTCACACCTTTTGCCAGTGTAAGAGTGAAGGGTTAAATAAGAAAAGAAAAAAGCAATCATGCCCAAGAGCAATCTGCATAAGCTTCTCTTTCTTCACATACACCCTTTCTCTGACTTAACAAGCCAATAGCCAAAGACACATGTTAGAAGTGCCCAGTCTTGAATGATCACATTAATCCAGGATTCTCACATCCACTGAGAAATACCTGATTTAGTCCTGCTATTTTGATCAGAAGCCAATTTTATTAGAAGTGCTGAGCACCTCACTTAATGGAGCACCTCTCACTCAATCAAAAAGCTTTCTCAAAAAACTCACACTGGACAGCATGCCTGAATAAACACACTTTTAATTGCACAGCTAATTTACTCAGTTTTAAAAAAATCAGCACAAGACAAACCCTAATGCAAAAATCCTTTAAACTTTCTTTACCTGTTGAACTTTTTTGCTTTTTTTTACCATAGACCAAGACAAAGTAGAAGCTATTTTACTTTAAACCACCTGAAGTCAATGACTTAAAAAAAAGTTAAAATCTACTGATAGAGCACACTAAAAGTCAATCCCAACACACTTCAGAGACACCCCTGCTTAATCAAGAGAACACCAGCCCAGTTACATCTCTTAATATATTAAGTTTCATCACCATATTTCTGCCTGCAACTTCCAGAGAGCATTACTATCTCATGAGAGATCTGACAGCACTTCAGCTGAGTAAGAGAAAAAACAAGGTACTTACAACTCAGTCCAAGCGACCCTGGCTGATGTTCCCTCTAAGCTCTTCTCTTCTCTTGACCAAAATTCTCTGGCTACCAGGACATGGGCATTCCTCCCTCTTTTCCTCTCTCTCCTTTCTCTCTCCCCCCTCCACCCCCATCTCCCTCCCTCTCTCTCAGAGGCAGTGCTTCTCCCATTAGAGGAATTAAAAGTGGTTGGTGCCATGCTAAATTTAACAAGCTCATTAGTATTCTTCCTGTGTGCTTCCTAGTGAACTCTCCCTATTCAAGCGGCTCTCTCTAGCTGAGGGGTCAGGCGGCTAATCATTAAATCAAACTAATGTCACCCTATCACAATCAGCCTAAGAGAAGGAGGGTTTATTATTTCAGTTTATGCTAAATAAACGGTTTTACAAATGGTCTCCAAGCAAGGTCAACAGCAGCTTCAATTACAAGACAAACTTAACAAGAGTTGCTATAAACCAAGTGCTCCATATTGACCTAAGCACAAGCTCAGCTCTGCATATTGCCACTAGCAGGATTGTACAGGAATGCATATTGTAAAATAAAGGAAAGGGTAATCTTTTCTTTGCCAGAATTTGTGACTGCACAGAGACTGCTCATTCACCTCTCCCCAACCAGATTGCTGCTCAGCTCAATTCACCCCACACAAAGGCTGAAGACCAGACCTCAATGGACCGAGTGAAACATGTTCAAAACTAGGCTCTCTATTGTGACTGAATTTCTTAACATCTTTTCAAAAAGCGGAGAATGCCTTGAGGCTAAAGGAAGAAACAGGCTAATGGTGAATTGGGAATACTGAGCAAATTTCAGAGCCCTTTCCTCCTAGCTTTTGAGGTTGAAAGCAAGCTCTTTCCTTTCAAGTTTCAAAGTCCTTTTTCCTCCCGCAGTGTCACAGAAGGATTTGAAAAGAAGGTAATTGTGCTCACAGTCCCCCTGATC